GTTGCACACAGGCCGGAAGCAACCATTAGGCGCCAAGTAATGAGGCCAAAAGACCCGCTGCCACGGCAGGAAACGTCTGGAGTCGTTTACCGGATCTGGTGTAGTTGCGGACAAAGCAATTATGTCGGAGAAACTGGGAGATTACTCCGTACGCGACTTGCCGAGCACGCAGCAGCAGCGAGACGGGGAGACGCTAACTCTCAGGTGGCGGCACACTCGACGGGGCCCGGCCATATTTTCAAATTTCAAGAGGCCGAAATCCTCGCAAGGGGTGACAACCGCGTGAGCCGCGAGCTGCTCGAGTCATGGTTCTCAGGCCCGCAATCCATCAACAAACACAATGACCTCCCGGTGGCCTATTCCGTATTGCGATTTTCCCTGGGCAGGAGAATCAGTCACGTGGGGAGGGCGCGGGTGAGCAATTATCACGGTGACAGTGAGCCAGTTTGCCGAGCAATCGTCACACCAGCATCGAGCACGGATGACGAAATCGCGGCAATTAACAACTCGGACTCGGACCGCCAAGCCACCGCCGCATCAATTACGACCCCAGCGGCGATTGTGAGAACTGTTAATTGCAGTGCGCATACGGTCCCACGGCAGCCACGTGCTATAAATACTGCACTCATGGTGCCACCTTCACCTCTATCTGCGAATGTCTCTGATGATGGGTTCGAGTGAGAATCCGAAACGTCAGGCAAATAAACTTCTTGTCCCAGTGATCGCATCTTCATCTTCGGAGACTGGATTGGCCATTTCTGGCTTATTATCCGTCGTCAGCAGTCATACCCAACCCCGAAGTATGGAACACCCGAGGCTCGAACTCGCGACAGCACTGTGATCTGCCTGGGGCAAGAACATAGCGCTGTGTCGAATACTGGATTGACTACGCGCTTTCCCGCCGTCTCGAAGACGGGTTTGAAATACAACAACAAGGATGATCTCAAGGAGAGAAGACACCAACGAGGCTGAACACATCCGCACAGAACTTGCCTGAGCGCAGGCGCGAACTCCGACAAAATGATCCGCACATGCATCGCAGACGCCAAGCGTAGCCGGACAAGGCCGCAGGCCACCATCAAAGCTACCGCCAATCAAGTTGTTGGATCTGCATGCTGAAGGCGCGTAGAACTGACTCAATGGAGCACATTGGTCTATT